AAAGTGCTATTTTTTGCTGCGGTAATAATAATTTAAGTATTGCACTTGGTCTCTGATCTAAAGTTTCATGGGGTGGGATGTTCATGAGACATTTGTCAACTCAATGCAGATAATCATGCTGGAAATGCTCCGTAACATATTCCTTTCTATATGACGAGGAGGAAAATCCAATTTATCACTGCAAAGGCGTGGCTATGCAAGCATGTGTTTGTTGACTTGGTGAAGTATTAGTGGACTGCCAATAATGTAACTTGGGTATTATTGGAATCTAAATTGATTCCTAAGTGGTCTACTACTAGAAAGCTACACTCTTATCTCAACCAAAATTTTCATTCCAAATGCCTAATATTTATTAGGTAGAGGCATTGTGATGCAGCACCAATAGAAATATTCAATGGAGAATGAGAAAACCAATTAACAGGAAGAAGAAATCTAGGGAAGAGATGGTAGAAGAAGAACCAATAGAAGAACCACTAGAAGAAAGATGGAGAGAAAAGGGAAATTTGCCACAAGCCACCAAAATAATGTTTCAATTTTCAGTTATCAACATATAAATAGCAAAAAAATCTAATATTTACGGGCTTGGGCCAGACCCATTAATCAAGTCCAATGAAATAAAAGACATCAATATATAAAACACAGAGTAAAATAATTGGGCCGATGTCCGCATCAACTCTCACAGGGTGGGAGAAAAACTCAACTCTGTCAAGTGGTTGAACTACCGCGGTGGACAATCCTTCTGACGAACCAAATATCAGAACTCAACAAATGATAACAAAGCCATGTGCAAATTATCCCCAAGCATATGATATGACCAAGATGATCTGGTTAAAGGAAGATCTTACTGACTCCTATAAAATTCCAATGAATCTGGATCACGTTGTTGATGTCTCGTTCTGGGGATTCATGTACCATCAGAATCAATCAAGTCGGTCCACCCAATGGACAAGAAAGCACTAAATCTCTCTATCATTGGTCAACACAATTTGATCATCTAAAATAACATCAATTTTATCTTTGTGTGCTATGATTAGTGGTATTGGAGTAGACATAGTAAAAGATTTAGTGTAGGAATTTCCATGTAGAGGTAGAAAATAATTATCAGAGGGGTTAAAATAGCCTTTGTAAGCGACGAAGTCCTTAACAGTTAAAATAGAGTGGTGGCCAAAATGTGATAAAAGATCAATGACACGTTTATTTGAATCAACATGTTTTAAAATTTCATAAGGAGCAGCACTACAAGCTTGCAATATAACATAATACCCAATATTAAATTCAAAATTTCGCTTATGCAAATCAGCTTGAAGTTGATATAATACATTACTTGCTTCAAATTGTTTATTGATCTCAATATGCAAGTTATGAAGATGTGATACAACTACTTCAACTGACACACATGGGAATAAGGTCTAAGGTTTTCCTAGGTTCATAACCATGAATAACTTCAAAAAGACTTGTACTTATAGACCGATTTATAAAATTGTTATATGTAATTTGCATTGGTGGGATGATCAAATTTCAGTTCCCAAGATTTTCCTTGAAAAGGGCATGATTACACTAATCGTCAGTACCTTTGGGTTGGATAAGAGAGTGACACAACGTTTGATTGAAAGGTATCGGGAACATGGGATACAATACCTAGATTCATAGGAAAAGTCCATATACTATCTAAGGAGGTGTTCTCAGTATCATTGAAGTCATCAAATTCTTCAAATTTAGGTTCACAGATTTGATCTTATAATCGCTCATATCTTATATTCTTTTGTTCTTCAATGACTAAAGCTCTGCTAGGACATTCAGAAGAGATGTGGTTAAAGCCTTTACAGTTGAAGCACTGCAAGTGAGAAGAAGCCCTTGGAATTTTAGAAATTTTACTCTTATTTTCCAACGCATAAGGAACATTAGACGGGAAGGGTCTTATGATAGACTTAAGAGGAGGCAGCGATGACAAGTTTAGCGGACGATGGTGATCGCGGTTTTCATATGAAGTACTAATAAGTAACTCATAGTTTTGTCTAGAGTAGCTAAAAGAGGGAATCGTTACTTGTTGGATGTTGTCAGAGTTTTGTCTTGGAATTTTCGGTTTTGCCCAAATTTTGGGTTGAAACTCTCTCCACAGCTGTACATCTTATTAATCAACTTCGTGCTCAGCATTTGTATTTTGACTCACCTTATTTCCACGTGCACGGCACACATCCTAGCTATGACATGTTGCATACCTTTGGTTGTGTTTGCTTCGTCCATTTGCCTCCTTATAAACGATATCGGCTTGCTGCTCAATCTTACTATGTACCTTCATGGGTTACAGCATTTCTCAGAAGGATTTTGTTTGTTATGATGGGTTGCTATCACTTTCGTATCTCTCGCAATGTGATTTCTTTTGAGAATCGGTATTACTTCCAACATCTGTCATCTTCTTATTTGGCTCCACTCATTAGCTTTGAGGATTGCTCTCGTTGAGTGTCTTAAACCAGGTATGAAATATTAGAGAGGACGGCCTCTTGTTCCATTGTCCCTTGCCGATCTCGATCCTATCCCAGACATTACTACTCTTCGACAATCTACTTGCAGTACTCATCCTCCTTATCTGTATGGCTTCTCTGCAACTTATTTCATTTCATAGTTCCTACTTCTTATTCTCAGATTGTTACTCAACCCTATTGGGAGAAAGCTATGCAAAAAGAATGCTCTTTAGGATAATCATACATGGGATATTGTTTCTTGCCCTCTCAGCATTAAACCTATTGAGTATAAATAGGTATATTTCGTTATGTTTCGCTCCGAAGGATCGCTAGAGCTCTATAAAGCTCGATGGTAGCTCTTCGAAATCGTCAATAATATGGCGTGGATTATGAGGAGAGCTTTGCTCCTATTGCCAAAATGACAAGGTTCGGACTGTTCTGGTTGTAGTCGCCTCCAGAGGATGGTCTTTGGGGCAGATAGATGTCAATAATGCTTTCTTACATGGCGATCTGAAGGAAGAAAATTATATAACACCCCTTATTATCCTCTTTTCGTTGCCATCTTTTGATGTGTGTAAGTTAAAGTGCCCACTTTATGGGTTGAACTAGGTTCCTCCTGTTTGGTTTGACAAGTTTCGCTCTACTCTCTTGGGTTTCTCATTTACCCAAAGTAAATATGGTCTCTCATCTTTGATGCTAAGGTGGGTACTGTGTTTCTTTTGGTTTATGTAGATAATATAGTCATTAATGAGACTGACTCGGAATTAATATCTCACCTTCAAAATCAATTGAAAGATTCTTTCCATATCAAGGATTTGGGTACTTTACAGTATTTGTTAGGTTTTGAGGTACTTTCCAGTCCTATAGAAACTTGCCTGCATCCGTATACTCTTGCCTGCATCCGTATAAGTATACGGAAGAGTTTATTATTTTGGCTGAACTTAAGGATGGTCGCTTGGTTGATACTCATTTGGAAGTGAATGTGAAATATCGTAAGTAGGAAGATGATCTTCAAGATCCTTCTCTATATTGCCAGTTGGTAGGTAGTTTGAATCATCTCACTAATACTCGACCTGAATTTTCTTTTACCGTACAACAAGTGTATTAGTTTATGCATACTTCACGACATCTCCACTTGGCTGCGGTTCATCGCATTATTCGATACCTGCTAGGTACACCTGATAGGGGTCTTTTCTTTCCTGGCAATTCCTCTCTTAAGTTGATTGGATATAGTGATTCAAATTGGGTTGAATGTGTAGATACTCATCGCTCAATTACATTTTGGTGTTTGTTTATTGGGAGTGCTCTTATTTCCTGGCGAAGTAAGAAGCTGGATCGTATCTCTAAATTCTTCACGAGTATTGCACTTTGTCTTGTGCCTGCTCTAAGATTGTTTGGCTACGGGGTCTTCTAGCAGAGCTTTGTTGTCCTCAACTTGAGCCTACTTCACTTCATGCTGGCAACACTAGTGCAATTCAAATCGCAGCTAATCCTATGTTTTATAAGTGCACTAAACTCATTGAAGTGGATTGTCACTCTGTTCGTGAAGTTTATGTTGATCGCATTATCTCGCTTCCACATATCATCATTGATGTTCAGATCACTGATGTGTTTATTAAGGCAATGACGCGACAACAACAACAGTTTGTTATCATCAAATTGATGCTTCTTGATCTTCCGTCATCAATTTGAGGGGGATATCAACAAGATTGACAAATATTATGACCCTAACATTATTCTACATATATAATTGATTGTAAATTATTGTAATTATAGTTTACCACATTTAGGACCGTAGCTGCATGTGTAATTATCTCTATTTAATGAAAGGAATCCCAAAATGAGAAATCATTCAGTCTAGAAGATTTTACATTTGGTGCATAATGTATGGCTTTTTAATGGATTCAGCTCTGTGATGCCTCTTTCTTTACTAGAAAAAACAAAAAGGAATGTGGCAATTAATCATAATATGAATTCAGTAAGGACTTAATTTCAATGTCAATGAAAGCTGAACTAGACAACTTGCCCTTTTCGGTCTGTCATGTGTTTCAAAAATATATTGTGGACTGACTATAACAATTTTGAAAAATCCCTGTACAGAAGCAAGTGCCCAGAACTCGCTTGATACTAATATTTCAACTACAGGAATAGAAATATGTTTTTGAATTGAGTCAGACTTATTTTTTTCTGAAGAATGCTGTTTCAGAATATATTGCAGGCTTGATCTTGTTATATTCTTGCTTGTTCAGTTGTATTTTTTTGTTCATTTGAATTCATCCCTATTCCAGCAAAGTGGAAAAGAAAAGAAAGACATTCTTGGAACTTTCAGAAGAATACTGGGATCAGGATAATCTATTGTTGTTCTATTTTTCAATAAACATCTGTCTTTCTAATAAACATCTGCCTTTCTATTACACATTTTGTACAGCTTTAATCACATTGACCCAGAAACTGCATACCTATGGGAAGTTGTCTTGAATGACACTTGTTGCTCCATATAATCTGTTATTCTCATGTTCTGTTTCTTTATCGTTTCAGAAGAAGAAAAGAAATATGGACACACTTCTCCACGGTTTGATGGCTTCTCTGATTCTCTTTCTGATAAAGCGCTTGGCGTTCAAGACACCTCTCCACATACAGCTGCCACGGTCTTTAATATGACACAGAGAAGGGACTCTTCCCTCATTCAAGATTCTTCAGTAAATGAAGCTAATATGACCATGATTCCTACAACCTCAAGTCAGGAAAGCACTACAAACATGGCAAAGCAAGGAGATAGTATGGTCAAATCTGAAGTTAAAAATGAAGCACGCAAGCAGATCCTTATGACTGACTTGCAGTGCACCCTGTGCAAGCAGCTGTTATATCGACCTATAGTTCTTAACTGTGGCCATGGTAGGTTTTGCGATCAATTTGCATGTCATATCAGGAAGAGTTCGTCAATAACACTTAAATGCTTATTGTCTTCGATTTTGCAGTTTATTGTGAAGCATGTATAAACAATCAAGTTAACAAGGTCTGCAGATGTCCAGCGTGTCAAAGTGTGCATCCAAATGGATTCCCAAATGTTTGTTTTGTTTTAGAGCACTTCCTGGAGGAGCATTTCCCCGAGGAATATTCAGCAAGAAAAGTGTCTTTAGCTGACCAACTACATACAAATCCATCTGAACGTATGTTACTTTTCCTTTTTCTTGTTTGTTCACAGCGAGTATACTATTTGACGATGTGACTTGATTCTTAGGTCTGAATGTCATTCAGATTCTATTCAAGAAGCCATTTATGGTTAAGACACACTTGTCCACTGGCACAAACATTAACACATGTATACAGTTAGCAATTACCTGATAATCAAGCATGGCCATTAATCCAGTGAAGACATACACTACATGCTGTAATCTGCATTTATGTGAACTTCATTCAATTCATCTCGTGCAGGTTTCATGTTCAGATATGGCTTCCATTCTATTCTCCAGAAACGACTAATTTCCAAGAACTGCCATATTCAATACTCATGATCATATAGGAATATTTATTTTTTCATATAGGAGAAGAGACCCTATTTTGGACCCTTTCCTCCATATACTTTTTCTCCATGGGTAGCTGTTCAATTGCATCTATCCATTAAAAATTGAAGTTTAAACCGTATAGAGAATCAATGATGTTCAGGACTGTGTCATGGCATTTGTTAAGAAAAAAATAGTTGTATTACTAAATAAAGAACAGATGGTACTCTTGTGAGCCTGTGATAGTACTCCCCGTATATAACGGTCATTGGATTTTGATGTTAAATCAATATCATTGTTTGTTTGACTTTCTCCTTTTATCCTGTACTATTGCCATCAGGTACGGCCAGGAAGCGGGAGCAAGCAACTGAGTCTTCGTCATTTCCTAGAAGGGCTTACTTATCATGGCTGTCTGACCGTGGGACAAAGTTTCACCCTGCGGTTGGTTGTGATTGGTGTGGGGTAACATGATTATTTCTTTTCTTGCTTTTCTTTTTAACTGAGCATTCACAAGGAAATTTCTGAGGAAAAATGGCTTAGTAACTTTCATATTTTCCATGTTTGTGATTTTTACAAGTCTTTTCTTTAGATTGGTTCTATCACCTAATGCTTAATAAAGATTTCACATGCCTTTTCTTTCACTAAATATTTGACACCAACCTAAGTGTTTTTTATGCAAAACTATGTGAAAAAGGTATTATCTGTTCCTGAATTAGTTTCTTCACAAACCTGAGAATCAATTTTCCAAATTTCACCTGCCACACTCAGAACATCAACGTTTGCTCAACTTCATTAACAATTTGGTTTGCATTTTGATTTCTAGTGTTCATCAGTATCTTCTTTTAGCAGTATTTCATCACTTCAAGCATTTTTTTTTTCTTTCATGGCTTCCACTATGGCTACCTCCATATTCCTGATTTCCACAGCCATTTTTGTGGCCAAGGTTGTAACCCCCATTTCCACCGCTAGCACCATCACCATAACAATCAATTTCCATATCTTCCCTTTTCAATCACAAGTTGCAAAAGTCTTCATCTTTAACCCCATTGATATGCCCCGGACTAAAAACCCATCTTTCTATTAAAATTTTCATTTCAATTCTAGATAAAGCTTTATGTTAAAGATGTGGTGGTTCTTTTTAATTTGTATGGTACCCATGTGCACAAAATAAACGTGCTTTGTTTTTAATTTTTCCTGTTTCAAGTGATTATCTCAACTACTTGAGTAACAAACACTAAGTGTGAAGTATCAAGGGAAGCTTATAGAATTTAAGGTGATGGGCTTGAGTTTAGAAGAAAACAACCACTAGGGGGTGTCTGTTGGTGGTTCATCTTCAGAGATAGGTTAGTTGGGAAGACGTTATTTTAGCTTATTTTCAATAAGATACTGCTTTTAGAAAACTGAAAAGTTCCCGTGGAATGTCTTTGCCACCAGGCAGAATTCATGCATCAGGGCCGGATTGTATACAATCTTGCAAATTCAAAAAATGTAGTATACGTTTTTATCTTTTCTCTGTGGCACTAATTTCAAAGAAATGCAGATGTATCCTATTGTTGGGGAACGATACAAATGCAAAGACTGTGTTGAGGAAATAGGCTTCGACCTCTGCGAAGAGTGTTATAAGAGTTCCTCCAAGCTTCCAGGTCGATTCAACCAGCAGCATACTCCAGAACACCAGTTCGTGATCGAGAAACCTATTTTCCAGTTGAGATTTGAAGCTGTACCTCCTGAACATCATGATACTGGTAGCCTGGGCATCACTGAAGAAGTTATGGTCTCCAACTCGTCAAATGACACTTCACAGGACGAAGTAGATGGTGCAGCATCTCTGAATTTGTCACCCGACTCACTACAGGATCTGGGAAATTCTATTGCATTGCCCGTTCCCTTCAACAATCCTTCAGAAGATCAAGAATATACCGACTCTGGAACTTGAAATCGTGTTAGGTTATTTACCAATGTACCAGTCTGATGGCTTGTCTGTGGAGGTGCACAGAGTATTGGATGGTATTAAAGAAAAGAAAAAAACAAATATTTAGTCCTTTGTACTATTGAGCTCTACCAGGTACTGTATATGGATCATACATGAATCTATTTAGGGTCGCTCTCAAATATTGCATTTGTTAGCATTTTGTCTAAAGAGTAACATGTTTCCAACTAGGTCGAGAAACTTCAGGCATCAGTGCGATTGTGTACTTCCATTTTGCACCTAGTATCTATTTGTTAGCACAAATGTATTGATATGCACACAGAGTATTGGATGGTATTAAAGAAAAGAAAAAAACAAATATTTAGTCAAAAAACAAATATTTAGTCCTTTGTACTATTGAGCTCTACCAGGTACTGTATATGGATCATACATGAATCTATTTAGGGTCGCTTTCAAATATTGCATTTGTTAGCATTTTGTCTAAAGAGTAACATGTTTCCAACTAGGTCGAGAAACTTCAGGCATCAGTGCGATTGTGTACTTCCATTTTGCACCTAGTATCTATTTGTTAGCACAAATGTATTGATATGCTAGTCAAAAGCTCACCACTACCTTCCCTATAAGTCTCGAGTTTTCTTCCTTATTTCCGTCTGAAGTCTGTTGCAGATAGTGACCACATGCCCTAATTATCGCATGTCATAAGTCGCACACAGGGTGGATCTTTAGATTCTTACATTTATAAGATAGCCAATATGCTTCACCTCATACTTGGTACATATAGGGAGCAATCTAAAATTAAAAGAAAAAATTAACAATTACCTATGTAATTCTCATTTTTGGGATAAAATGTATTATGAAATAGTGATTTTTTGAAGAACATATGATTAAAAGGTAAGGAAAAGTTTTTGAAATACGTGTATAATTATTTTATAAAACAATATGGTTGAAAATGAGTTTTGAAAAAATAGGGTTCAAACTGGAGCTAAGCTTCTTGTGGCATGTCCTCTCTAAAGAACATGGAAGTAAATAGTTTTGGTTTAGAAGTAAATAATTTTGGAGGGGGGGGGGGGGG